ATGTAATTTTTAGTGAAAGCTGGTAAATGGGTAGAATTACAGGGTACTTTGTCTTTCTAGGTCCCAGAATCAGAGAGGTCTGGGCATCAGCCAGGCAGTTGTACTCATAAGGCATGTCTCTGTGGGCAAGTTAACCTCTCTGACATTTGGTTTTTCATATGTAAAGTGGTGGTAATAATTTCTGCCATATGGAATTATGAAGATTAAATAATAGCCTAATGCTTTGTCCAGTACCTGACACGTAAGTGATCCGAAATGGCAGATATTTTTCCTGTTCAAGTAACATTTTTACAACCTAACTATACTTTTTAATCTCCTTTTTTACCAGTTTTATATAGTCTTATTCTGTTGTATTTTATGAAGAAGCTGAATTACCAGATTGTTGAAAATTACCATTGACTCTGTAATTATTGACATTATCCAAAGGTTTTTTCATCAGTAGATCCTATAGAACTGTCATCATTGTTGCCCCTAGCATTGAGGTCGGTAACAGTCCTGCACCAGCAAGCGAAGACATAGCTAAATTTGCCAGACAATAGCAAAAACATTTCAAACCTGAGAGCTTGTAATTCCAACAACTGTCTATTTATTGGAATTGATGCTTAAGGATTTTCTGAAATTAATTAAATTGGGGACGTAACCTGAGGCTTTTAAGTAATTTGTCAGCACACTGTGTATTAGACCAAATGTTTTCAAGTGTTTTTCCCCTACCGAGACATGCATGGTAAATGTGCAGAGTGTCCCCTGTGCATATTCAAGCAGTATACAGAGTAAACACATGGGCTGTGCGGTCGGATCTGCTCTTACCAGCCATGGCACTGAGCACTGAGCTTCCATCACCATATCTTTAAAGGAGGGATGATATTTGTCCCACTTGATTGTTGGGAGGGTTAAGTGAGAAATATGCCTGGCATACAGTAAGGACTTTCTAAGTGACATCAGTGGTTGACCTCACTCCTGGCCTGCTGGCTATATGACCCTTCAAGAAGCTATTGAACTGTGAATGAGAATAACATTATTAGAAGCATAATCCTGAATCTGTTTTAATATCTAAAAAGTCCATTATATCTACAGAACGTCCATATTTGTGACAAAATACTCGTAATACATTTTCCATTTGTCATGACACTCCATTTGAGCACTACTACCTCAGACAGTGGTACTTCCTGTGACTATTACAATGCAGCACTGTTGGACACTAAAGCACTGGGGCTTAGAAATGAGGATGGTGGGCCCATGGCACTGGGGTGTACCACTTATGTCTTAGACAGATGAGGATGGTGGGCCCATGGCACTGGGGAGTACCATTCATGTCTTGGTTTTGGTTTCTTTTGAGATGGAGTCTCACTCCGTGGCCCAGGCTGGAGTGCAGTGGCGTGCTTTTGGCTCAGTGCAACCTCCGCTTCCTGGGTTCAAGCAATTCTCCTGCCTCAGCTGGGACTAAAGGCATGCACCACCATGCCTGGCTAATTTTTGTATTTTTAGTAGAGACGGGATTTTACCACGTTGGCCAGGCTGATCTCGAACTCCTGGCCTCAAGTGATCCATCCGTCTAGGCCTCCCAAAGTGTTGGGATTACAGGCGTGAGCCACCACACCCCACTCATGTCTTAGTTTTTTGGAAAGCACCCCCTGGAGGTGTGCAGGGCACAACAGCACTGCTTGGAAGGGTAACCCTGTTATCCATAGCATAGGAAAATTTTCCCTGGTCAGAGGAAAAAAGAGAGAACTACAGTTTGGAAAATGCTTGGGAGTAAAACGGAGTTGCTGGATGGGTACTCTAGTTCCCAGCATAGCCCCTCACCAGACTTCTGGGGTACAGGGCAGAGGAACAGTTCTATGGCAGTAGCTGTGATTATCAAGGAATTCAGTACATTTACTTTATAACCAAATTTGCTTCAATGTACTCAACCCCTAAATCTTTCTTCAAGCACATCTTTAAAAAGGGAAATGTTCTGTTGTGTAGAGAATCTTGGTAAAACCAACACCTTTTCTGAACTGCATATCAGAAATTGATATAGGTGGAAACTATGTGAAGGTTTTCGTCTACTATCCATGTAATATGAACAGTATGCGCTGAAAAGCCTTCTGTAGAGCCCATTCTCTAAAACCACTTGAGGCCCTGTTTATATCTTAAATGTCTGAATTTCCATTTCCACAGCTGTAAACTTAGAGAACAGGGATAGATGGTACCCTTTACCCCTCTCCATTCCTTTCCATCATCTCAGATCTGTCTATTCCTAGTTAGTTACTTTGCAGATTTGAGTGCTTCTAGTGATTCAGTTGCCATGACCCTGGGCACGAGTAAATAATTTAATATTTGAGAAATTAGAGGAAAGAAAGCAATCAGGCCAAAAGGAGGAAACGAAAACGTAACCCTGCTGAAGGAGAGCAAAACGTAACTCTTGCTCTCCTCCCCTGGCCTCACCTGCATTTCCCAGCCTCTCCCTTGTCAGCAGCTGACCACGTTCCGGACCACTGGAAGGCAGACTGGTGAATGCTTTGGTTCATGTCTTGGCTGTCTGACATCCCATTTGAAAACTGTCATCCGGCTTAGTTGTAAAAGATGTTCAACCAGAAGAGTGAAGAGAAAGAACCAGGCAGCACAGTGCCAACCCTGGCCAGAGAGATGTCTGTTTTTCAACTACAAAAGTCTATGCAAAGTTCCTCAGTGGGAGCGATAACAATGTTTTGGACAAAGCAATTAATTCTTTATGGAAGAGGGAGTGGGGGAGAGACATCCATGAGCTGTGTGTCTTCAAGATGAGTGTCTGGGTCCAGAACACTGAGATGGCTGGCACAGATACAGACAGTATATAATACAGAAGAAGACCTTCCGTATCTTCCAGTGACAGAATATGTAAGCTAAAATGATATATTGCTATAAAGTAATATACTTAACAGACATTCCATAATATTTATATTCATGTGAGCTTTGTTCTTGCAATACAGCACGCATATTTCGATAATACAGCAATGATAATAGCTAATGTATATTGAGCATTTTCCATGTGTTAGACGCTGTGCTTTATATGTATCATCTCCCTTAATCCTTAATTCTCACAACTCTTTAAGCAGGTAATTACTGTCTCCATTCTACATATGTGGAAACTATGGCTTAATAGAGTAAGCAGCTTTCCCAAGTGGTGGAGCTAGGATTTGAACAGAGTCCATGTTGTTGACAGCAGTGCTACAGTTTGCCACAGTGCTAGGAGTAAAGGCCTAGGATTTACAAGTCCCAAACCCCTGAATCTGGAAACAAGGTAAAGATTCAGCCTCAAATTGAAATAAATAAGCATCGATGTTAAAGAAATATTAGCCGATTCTCAAAATAACCACTCTAAGAAATGACTTGCATGTTGCAGATGAGTGCACGGTACTTCACAAACCTGATCAAGGCGATCTCTAACCTTAGGAATATATGACTGGCAGATGGCTGATGAGGAAAAATTGGAAGGCAGTGCTGTGGTGCTGCTGAAATATCTTTGTAGGAGGACCGTATAGATTAACCAGGATGAATCAGAGAGTGTATTACTAGTACTGTCCAGCGTAAAGATCACCTAACTTCCGTAAGTTAGTGTTCCCACCTTATGGGGTTGTAGACCTTAGGTGGACCCAGGTGTTCCAGGTAAACTGTAATACTGTGTGACACTGCATGTTAAGATCTCTTAGGCTGGGCGCGGTGGTGCACGCCTATGATCTCAGCACTTTGGGAGGCCGGAGTCAGAGGATTGCTTGAGTTCAGGAGTTTGAGACCAGCCTGGGCAACACAGCAAGACCCCATCTCTACCCAAAATGCAAAAGTTAGCACATGCCTGTAGTCCCAGCTACTTGGGGGTATTGAGGTGGGACGATCACTTGAGCCCGGGAGGTTGAGGCTGCAGTGAGCCATAATCGTGCCACTGCACTGCAGCCTGGGTGACAGAGTGAGACCCTGCCTCAAAAAAAAAAAAAAAATCTCTTGTTCCCTTGCTGTGACTCTTAGATTCCAAATCAACTTCTGCTTGTAAAACTCCTACCTAGATTTAAAACAAACAAATAAACATTGTCTGGCACATAAGAACATTCCAGTTTATCTACTATTCCTTGATTTATTCTTTGCTAAACTCCTACTAAATTTCTTCTCTCTGTCATTTCTCCCTGTGAAAATTCTAGCTTTGAATGACCTAATCATATTTATTTATTCAGATAGAAATCCCATCCTCGGCCGGGCGTGGTGGCTCACGCCTGTAATCCCAGCACTTTGGGAGGCCGAAGTGGGCGGATCACAAGGTTAGGAGATCAAGACCATCCTGGCTAACACAGTGAAACCCCATCTCTACTAAAAATACAAAAAATTAGCCAGGCATGGTGGTGGGCACCTGTAGTCCCAGCTACTCGGGAGGCTGAGGCAGGAGAATGGCATGAACCCGGGAGGCGGAGCTTGCAGTGAGCCAAGACCACGCCACTGCACTCCAGCCTGGACGACATAGCAAGACTCCGTCTCAAAAAAAAAAAAAAGAAAAAAAGAAATCCCATCCTCAACGGCATCTTTATATATGAAAGCCAACAATACACTCTTCTTCTGGGAGGGAATAATTATTATGGAGGGTTGACAGTTTAGGACATGTTGCCTTGCAGATTAAGAGTGGTTGGTTTGTTTGTTTTTAAAGAGATGGAGTCTTGCTGTGTTGCCCAGGCCGGATTAAAACTCCTGGGCTCAAGCAGTCTACCCACCTCAGCCTCCCGAGTAGCTGGGACTACAGGTGTGAGCCACCATGTCTAGCTAAGAGTGAAGTTTTATGTTATTTAATAATAAATTTATACTCAGAAGAAGAAAGGAAGTATACTTCTTTTTCTTTCAAGATACCTAGAATATATATAGTCCCTATCATTTATTAATGTTCCTTAGCTCTGTACCTGTGAGCGGTAAAGTACTAGTGAGTCAGGAAAGGCGCCATCTCTAATAGCTGTTTTCTCCTTCTTTTAATATTTGGTAACTAATTATTTTTCTTCTTTTAGATGAAAGACTTTCGCAGTAAAATGCAATCAATATTTCCAACAATTCCCAAGAACTCCGAATCGGCTGTTGAGTGGGAGGAAACATTGAAATCCAAATGAGATGAACATGGATGAATTTCAAAATGCTTGTTACGGAAAGGGGTGGTTCCAGAGATACCATAACAGCAAAGGGACTGGGACTAATTTCTCTAGGAACATGGGCAGATTGCTGACTGAACCAGTGCACTGGATAGCATTCGGCCTTCTCATCACAGGAGAGTATGTGTGTGCGTGTTGGTGGAGGGTAAAGTTTCCCCAAAGTTATGAAGACTATTTAAAAATAGTAATTACAGGAATAACTTCCTTATATGGAGGGGATCCCACAGGAAATGATTCTGTTTGTAATAGTTGAACCAAGTTTCATACCTAAAAAAAGTTTATAATAAAAGTATGATAGGAAAATATAAAACAGACCCCCTGATAGCAATAGTACTGCAATGTGTCTTAATTAAAGGAGTTTTAAGAGCCTTTCTTGTCAGTATGTGACAGAACTTGGAAGTCTTATTCTGATTAGCCAGACTACAAAGTGACAGTCACCTGGTAAGTCCTGTGTGGTGGGAAGTGGGTGTGGCTCTCGTGTCCTCATGTGGTCTGTGATTTACAGCGAGCCCACGCATGCTAGTTTACCTGATGCCCTCTCTTGAAGGCCCTATAAATTCTTATACTTAAAACAAAAAGCCAGTAATGAGTTGTGATCACCCAAAAAGGCACAGTTGGGGTAAAGTAATGATGATATCAGGGGTAAAAATATGTTTTTAAGAAGTTGGTCTGGATCTCTGAACATTGACAGTTTGTCATTTTGTCTCAGTTGTCAAAGTAAAAAGAGCCCAATTGTCGTCTGTCTTCAATTTTTTTTTTTTTTTTTTTTTGAGACAGAGTCTCGCTCTGTCGCCCAGGCTGGAGTGCAGTGGCACGATCTCGGCTCACTGCAAGCTCCGCCTCCTGGGTTCACGCCATTCTCCTGCCTCAGGCTCCCGTGTAGCTGGGACTACAGGCGCCTGCCACCTCGCCCGGCTAATTTTTTTTTGTATTTTTAGTAGACACAGGGTTTCACCATGTTAGCCAGGATGGTCTTGATCTCCTGACCTCGTGATCTGCGCATCTCGGCCTCTCAAAGTGCTGAGATTACAAGCGTGAGCCACCACGCCCGGCCTGTCTTCAATATTTTTAACCAGAAAGTCACCTGAGTACTGAGTCCCAATGTAAAGTATTTGGTACCACCTCCCTAATGAAGCTGTTAGGGTAAATTCTATGTGCACACCCAACTCCCTCATGTCTTCCACAATCTCCTACAAAAAAACAGATGGAGAATAATGTCTTCATGCAATTATTTTTACTGCAATTGCATTTTAAAATATTTTCAAGGAGAGAAATACTTTAATATGTCAGTATGTCCAGAGAAATAACCTGTAGTTAAATATCAGTTGTGCAGTTTCTTCCTACTTGCCTAGGCTCTAATTAGCAATCAGGTTTAAGAAAGGACATTTGAAATTTCTGTTATCACGAAACCTTTTATTCTAAGGGAGATTTTTAAATGAAACGACAAGTACATAATGTAATACTTTTCTCTAGACCATGTTACCCTATTAAAATTGCTGTTTTGTTAATGAAACAGGTGTAATCAGCATCTGGAATTCATATGTAATCTGGTAAAAATCCAAGACGGAAAGGAAAGGATTGTGAAATTGGTCAGTGAATGCAGGTAGCAACAACTCTTCACCGGCCTTTCATTTGTAGTTAAATCTCCTCTGAGAAGAAATTTGTAGCCTTTGAATGAAACGAAGGAAAGGCCGGAGCTAAAGGAACAGGTTTTCATCCACACAATTAGTCTGAATCTAGGTCCCCTGAATAGAGTGGGCACTGCCTGATCCTTTTGTGCTTCATAAATGTGGGTTTCCAAGCTTGTGCATGAGATGGCCCTCAAACCTTGTTACAGCGGTGCACTTTACCCGTCTGATGTGGGGGGAGGAAAGAATGGGCACTACCTAAAACTGTTTACAGCTAGAATCTGGGTTTTATTTTTCGTAGATGGAGAATGCCTCGTGGTTTCTAAAGACCTCCACTGGGTGGAGAAAGGAGGCTTGCCCGCCTGTCTGGAGTGTTAAAAGGAGACATCATTGTTAACTGTGATTCTATTTAATGGATTCCTGCCTTGTAACCTCCCTAAGGGTGGGGACCCCTCTCAGGGCCTTGTAAACTGGTGTCAGCACCACTGCAGGGGCTGCTGCACGTCGGACGGATGGCAACTAGGCCCTAGGAAGGAGCCAGGGGCCCTGGCGGGGGCGCTGCTTTCCCACAGTGCTGGCGCAGAGGAGGCCTAGATGTATGTTGCTGAAGGAGTGTCCGAATACTAGAGTGGCATGCCTCGTGTCTGCAAAACCCTTATACGTCACCTCTGCTGTCCTTGACCGATGGCAGGGCGACTCCCATAAGAATGACGATGAATCCCCTGCAGAGGGGAGGCTGGCAGGGACAAATTCCCTAGAAGAGGAAATGAGCTTCGGCTCTAACTGCATCTTAAAAGCAAAAGTGAAGTAACGCACAGATGGAAATTTAACAAGAAAACAAGCAGTATGACTCAAGTGGTGTTTTCCACAGTCAGAACTTGAATATCAGTGGATTTCATCATTTGTCTATTCCTTTTGTACCAGAGGCATATTGTTAAATTGGTTAATGGAAAGGAAAAATGTTTAACAGATAATGTTATTCTTTATGAGACGTACCATCTGTGTATTGAGCTCTGAATGTCCCTGGATATGGAAGAGAGGAAATGTGATGGAATTTCAAGTTTGCCTTCTTTGCTGTCTTTATCTTGGGTAGAATATGACAAACATAATCACATTTATCTCCTGGAGCATAAAGAGTTTTAATCACCCTATTAACCAGGATGACATTTTTCACAGACTTAAAAAGGAATAGAACAGCCATTATCTCTCTATAAGCAATCCATTTCATGGAGGCTGAGCACTAGAAATGCTTTAAAGGATGGATAACGCAGACCATTTCCATTTCCTGTCTAAGCCAACATTAAGGAGGCTTTCAGTAAGGCTGTTGCTTCCACTGGGTGAGTGTTAAGCTTTACACTTAGAGTCTCAGCACCCAAAAGAGCTATTAGAGAAATCGAGGGCAGGGAGGAGTGGCTTCCGAGACCTCGGGATTCATTCAAGGGAAAACATGTATCCTGGTAAGTTGCTGCTGCCCTATGAAAAGGAATCCATGGGCTGCTGTTATATTCAGAGTCAAGAAAGTGTGGTTTCAGGACAATGTGAGAGTGGAAAGTAGGGGATGGGAGCTGCCTCCCAAGACGCCGGCAAGCCCATCACTAGGAGGACCATGGCCCAAGGGCATGGAAGCAGGTGGCCGCTGAGAGGGCTGTCGGACATCCCCACCTCCACCCTCGTGCCAGGTCGTGGGCACAGGCTGGCATTGAAAAGGACACTTCACCTGCTTAGTCAAAAGGTGGCATTGAATCATCTCGGCTGTCACATGTTTTGTTTAGTTTCATGGATAGTATGGGACCAAACTTGCAAATTAATCATTGCAACCTAAGGGGAAAATAGAAGAAATTAAGGTGGCGGAGGGAGCCCATGGGGACAAAAGTAATTAAAATCCACTGAATTTAGCTATTTCACTTGGGGCAACATTTAATCTCCAAGATTAAATCTTGGTTTATGGGGAACATTGTATATTTTCATCTCATTTTTAAGTATCGTCTTTAAGACAAATCGTTAAGTGCAAATGAAAATCAGGTAACATACAAAGGCAGTTCACCAAATAGTTAAATTTCCTATGAAAGTGAGTGAAATACATATTTTTATAATACCATGTTCAAGTGAAGTGTTTTTCCTTTCTGCCAAGAGTCATTAAATGATATAGCAAGTATTTGGGTCTCTCTTGGTGTTATCAGGATTAATTGCCCAAGGCTGCGATTTTGTGAGCATAGAAAAGGAAAGCAAGCATCTCGCACAAGCAGTGACATGAATCTGTAGTAATGAGTGAGGCTGTTAGCAAATTTTGTCTGATGGCAGATAACTCAGTTTTGGAGAAAATTAGAATCACAGCTACCAAGAAGCACATACCGTTTCAACTTTCCTACCAAGTATTAGTGAAGTGATTTAGGACCTTGATTTATGTTTCTTCGATAAGCTGGCTTGAGGCCTTTGCTTCATTACTGTTTGATGAGGCATGATCACTTACTTTAAAAAAAAAATAGGTGAATGTATTAAATATACTTAAAGACATAACGGTAAAGGTTATTCTTAATGGACTCTCCTAAGAAGCTAAGTCAGGCAAACTGAGAACGCTTGGCGTGTTCATAACACCTATTACCTGCTCATCTGAAAACACTCAAAAAATGGACCTTCATGCTGCCTCTGACACCCCAGGCTTAGAGTGGCCTTCCAGGTTTGCAGTCTAATAGGTGACCCTCCACAGGACACCTCCAGGCGATGTCTACATTGCCACGCCCTGGGTGAGTCTCCGGCCCTCCCACATGCATGCCCTGCCTTCAGAGGACAAGTTGGCAAAACTGAGTTTCTAAAAGAAAACTTGAATTTGGCGGTCTGTACAGAGTTGTGCCAAACTGCAGTTTGCTCCTTTGCTCTGCCAAGCTGGGTGATGAGAATGTGTTTATTTTATTGCTGCTAGCTTTCTTCTCCAACTGACCCTGTTGTAGGGGCTGAATCCCCCACCGTGTTTCCTACTCTGGAGCAGAGCCTACGTGGCAGACCTCTCCATCCAGAGCCTTTGGGGAGTGTTACCAGGGGGTGGACCCTCCCTGCAGCCGCCATCTCCCTGTGTCCTTCCATCTCCCATCAGGCCATGGCGGCCACAGCTACTCAGATCCTTCCTGCAGTCAGGACAGAGGTTACACAGCTAAGACAACTCTAGTGACAATCTCATAAAAACTAAAGTAAGACCTCTTGTCAGAAGATAAGGATTGAGGAAACCTCTGCACTTGGCTTGCTCATGGGCCAGCTCTGGTTCTCTTTTCAAAGACTCATGACAAATGGTTGTAAAGTATCTATGGAATCAGCACATGACCAAGTATCTCAACTCCCTGTTTCGCAGAGATGCCTGGATGCGGCATGTGACGCAGTGAGTGACAGGGAGGCTTGGCTCCGCAGTGGAGAGTGCCTGCAGGAGGGCCGGGTTCAAGTTTATCTGGAGTTGGAGGTAAAACTGCACTTCCACCTGCCAGGGTGTGGCTCTGCAGCAAACCAGCCCGCATCCCAGGTTCTGTCTTTCCAAGGGTCTCCCACATACAGAGATCTTCCCTGGGAACTGTGAAAATGTAAGGGCTCGGAGTTGGGGTGGAATCTATATGCTTCAGTGAGCATGGTTAGCTTTCACTTCTCAATATTGTAAATGTTACTGAAGGAGCCAGAGAGAAGGGCCGGGTTAGAAAATGCAGGGTCAGGTGAGACCCTAGAGAAACATCCACAGCGCTGACGGGAAGAGGGCATTCACCTTGGACTGTTTCTTCAGGTTCAGGACTAAGCCCATCATAGCCCTTAGCAGACTCAAGAAAGAAGAAAGGAAGGGAGGGAGGGAGGAGAGAGAAGACAGAAGGGAGGGAAGGCAGGAGGAGAGGAAGGAAGGGAAGGGGAGGGAGGAGCTCCTCCCTAGGAAGAGGACCCAAGCGTCCACTTGGCTGTGTGTGAGACCAGGTCCTGGGAGACTGGCGTTTGCCTTCTCTGTGCTGGCCACATTTGCCTTCACCACCAAAGCTCAAGAAAAGGAAAATTACATCAAAATGAACATGAGGACAAAGTCATTTCAGCAGGGGGTGGGGTTGGGGGTGTCCTGGGCTTTTACATTCAGAGGCTGCAAGGTTAGGGGTTTCTAACTGCCAGCCCTGTGAACGGATAGTTTAAAAATGAAAAGCCATCTGGTAAGATCCCGTTGTACTCACCAGCTCTGACCTACTGAGCGGGAAGAAAGGAATACACAGATCTGCAGGATGATCCGTACAGGCAGATAATACTCAGTGGCCCTTCATCCAACCCAGGAGGTGGCGGTCTTGCTTCACAGGACGGGTCAGTGCCCTGCTCAAGCACTGGAGGCACAACGGAGGGCATTGTCCCTAAAAGCGAAGGACCTCAAAAAAAAAAAATTCCCTGCACTTCTCCCTTCCTTTTAGAAACGTCGCTGTCTTCCTACTTGTAGTATCAGCAACACCACCTAGAAGTCAGGCTTCGTCCTCGTCTCCGGGGGTGGAGAGTTTTATCTTGTAGCCAGAGAACCTAAGTTAAAGTTTTACAGAGAGTGCCTAGGATCAGGCAGGGCACACAGAAATATCTTGGGCCAGGGTCGCCTGGTCACGTTTATCGAAGAAACTAGACAGAAACCAACCCACCATCCGCTTCCCAGTGAACCTAATAGGCCCTAGAAAGTCCAGCAATTCCACCTAATCTACCCAATTTGTGCCTTTGATATGAGCTTCAGCATTATATCTTACTTTTTCCACTAGTCGCCAAATCATTTTGAGTGGAGTGTCATCACACGTTAATTACCTAGCCTGACAATCCCCAGGGCAGCTGGTTTTCTTGGGCTGTGTCTGCCAGGAGGCAGCGGGAGTTATTAGAAAAGTTTAGGCTGCCAGGTTAATATCATCCCTTCCAGTATCAATATGTAATGTCCTACTCCGTGCCTGGGCTTTAAGTACCAAAATTAAAAACAGCTCTCTCAAATACATGACAGGCTGAGAATCTTATGACTATTCTATGTGGCTCCAAACTTCTAAATCACTGCTCATAGTAGCTGCCCTATGGCCAAAGAGCTATGCCATCTCAAGGCTTGAGGGAACTCAGTGCCATGCTGTTGAGTGGTGATATCCAGCATTGGCTAATGACAGGCAGGCCAAGGGGAGGCAGAAGCCTTCTTAAAGACAGTGGCATCCCCAGTAAGGACAAGGAGCTAAGTCGCAGTACTCAGGAAGTATGCAGCTCTGAGTGCTGACTCAGGAAACCTTTCTTTGGTTTTTAATTTTCAATTTGTTTCTTTTTCTTTTTTTTTTTTTTTTTTTTTTTTTGAGACAGAGTTTTGCTCTGTTACCCAGGCTGGAGTTCAGTGGCGCAATCTTGGCTCACTGCAACCTCCGTCTCCCAGGTTCAAGCAATTCTCCTGTCTCAGCCTCTGGAGTAGCTAGGACTAGAGGTGCACGCCACCATACCCGGCTAGTTTTTGTATTTTTAGTAGAGACGGGTTTTCACCATATTGGTCAGGCTGGTCTCGAACTCCTGACCTTAGGTGATCCACCTGCCTCTGCCTCCCAAAGTGTTGGGATTACAGACGTGGCTTCCCAGGAAACCTTTCTAAAGCCATTTGGTAGCTTCCTGTCATGCTGCTAAATACAAGTTTCCTCCAATCAGGGAGCAGTATTGCTGGGGTGCTGGCTTCCCCGAGCTGCAGCTTCCTCCTCTCATTTCTCTTTATTTGACCCTTGGTTGCCAGAAAAAGTTATCACATCTCCTTCTGGGCCTCAGCCTTCAGACTCAGCTAGACTTTATCTTCTTGCCTGACAGTTCCTCCTCCTGCCACACAGAACACCTGGAAAAGCAAGACGTGAATTTGATTCCATTCATCAGAAAAGGAGCATTCATGGTCCACTCGCTACAAACTGTGGCGTCGCCCCAGCCTCTTAGCAGGAAGAAGGGCAGGGCAGGGGCTCACATCCCTTGGGTTTTTGATGACTTCTCATATTTCTCTGGGTATCCTGCACCCCCGCTTCCAGATCTTTCTTCTGATATCCTTCGGGGTCCCCTAGGTGGGTCCTATCCCAGAACCAGCCCCAGCTCTCCCGAGAGGAGACGATAAGGCAGATGGACAGCCTCCTGGCAGGTTCAGTTGGCCTCAGCCTTTTTTCCTTCCTCTTTCAGAACAAGGACATGTTGACCAGTGACGTGGCAATGTGTGTCCAATTAAATGTTTTTAACCTATTCTGCTGTGCCAACAATCTGCCAGCCACATTTTTCCCTTCAGATAAGTTGCTGATTTTTTCCCAGCAGGCAGCCTGCTCTCCAGAGCCCCGTGCTCTGGGCCCTGGGGAAGGCCTGTGAGTTCTGCCCAATGCCCTTTGCTCAGCTAGGAGCGACCTTCCTGGATCTGGAGCGGTCACTTCCCAAACCTCATCCATTTCCCACTAGTTATTAACAGTCTATTCAGCACTGCGCTATGCCAGAAACATTTTCTCTGCAGCTAACACTCCTTTATGACAAACCTGCCATTATAAACATTTGAAACACCCTTTACAATTACGAGCACCTGTGTAACGGGCAGTGCCCCCTAAAAGGGGGTACCCAGGGTCACTGGTGGGTTAAGGTGAGATCTGTGTCCCTTCACTCCAGCTCCTCTGCGACCTGGCCCCAGTGCCCAGTCCTCCTCCAGCCTCCCAACCATGATGGTTAATTCTAGGTGTCTGCTTGACTGGATGAAGCAGTACCCAGAAACCTAATGAGGCATTATTTTGGGGTCTGTCTGTGAGGGTGTCTCCAGAGGACACTGGCATGTGAGTCTGAGTGGAATAAGTGGGGAAGATCCACTCTCAATGTGAGTGATACCATCCGATCAACTGGGGGCCCGCAGAGAGCAAAAACAGAGGAAAGGCGAGTTGGTGTCTCTCCCTCTTGGAGCTGGGGTGCTCTTCTTCTCTTGTCCTTGGACATCAGAACTCCAGGCACTCCAGTCTTTGGACTCCAAGACTCACACCCATGGCCTCTGGATTCTCAGGCCTTCAGACTGAGCCTCACCACCAGCATCCCAGGGTCTGCAGCTTGCAGATAGTCAGTGGTGGGACTTCTTGGCCTCCCACAAATGTGTGAGCC